TCTGGGGGCGGGGCCTTTGCCCGTGTGTCCGTGGGGGCGGGGCCTTTGCCGGCATGTCTCTGGGGGCGGGGCCTTTGCCCGTGTGTCCGTGGGGGCGGGGCCTTTGCCGGCATGTCTCTGGGGGCGGGGCCTTTGCCCGTGTGTCCGTGGGGGCGGGGCCTTTGCCGGCATGTCTCTGGGGGCGGGGCCTTTGCCCGTGTGTCTGTGGGGGCGGGGCCTTTGCCAGCGTAGCGGGGGTCCTTCCCGGTTAATGGATGGCTTTTGTTTTGTTTCTCCTGTTTAGCTGCTGGCTGCCCTTCACAACCCGGTCCAGTGCACCCTGCTTGGCTTCTCAGCAGCCAGTACGTCACTGCCACAGGGCTACTTGTGGGTAAGTCTTCTAAATGTCATTTAACGTGGGTGTCGTCAGGGGCGTTGGGAAGCTTTGCGGGAGAGCAGGTGGGCTTCAGGCTTAGAGGTCGCAGGTTTCAAGCAGAGATGAAGTGGATTCTGAAGCCTCGTCCCTATCGGACCAGAGTACCGTCAGCTGCCAGTCACTGATGGTCTTAACCCAAAGGAAGCTGATAGAGGAATCAGTGGGAAATGTGTTAAAGTGGGATATTGACAGCGTACTGTAATAACACTCACCGTGGGTTTGGAAGCATCATTTTTCCCATCCCTAGGCTGTAATCCCAGCCGGAGCACTTCTGTTATACCTGTGGTTATGATACTTAGCCAAAATTGACTCATTAAAATACCTTGCAGTGTAAATAGATAAAGTCTATTGTAAAATACTGTATGTAATTCGCTTTCGGTGAAAGAGTCTTTCAAGCAAAGAAATAGTATGATATCATGTAATGCAAATCCCGTGAGCCTGAATTATGTAGATTGCTGTACTTCTTGACTTGGAAATGTATCCTATATCAATTGGGGGGGGGGCTTGTCATTGGAGGAGGAAATTGTTCTGGCAGGCAGCTACAAGGCCATCCCCAGACACCCTAGAATTTAGATAGATTTAAAAACAAACGGGGGACGCGGTAAAATCACAGGGAGAAAAACTAAATAGAGAAAAATGAGGATTTGCTCTTGTAGGATGATCTCTGTGTTTTAGAATAGGTCAGTAACATCTAGAAGGGCTATCAAGTTCTGGTAATACCCGTCTTGGAAAAGAAAGTGGGGTTTTCATATTTGCTTTAGTGAATCTGAAAAGTGCTCCGGGACACGGTTGGTTTGAAAAGATGCATTTCAGGTTGAAAAGAAAGTGGAGTTCTGGGATTAATGTGGTGTCACTCGAACGGTCTGCGAGTCCCTCCTGCTCAAATGAGGTGATATTCTATTAAATGGTCATACTTAGTGTGAGAGTCAACCAAAGCCTTGGGGTCTACATGCAGAGGAATTAGGGTCCCATTATAAATATTCATGAAGTACATTTCTGGCAGATTTTACAGACGTTTTTTTTATATGCATATTTAAAATAAAAGTGTCGAGCTCACAGAGAGAATCTCAGCATGTGTCACGTGCAAAGCGATGGACTCCAGTGCATTACAGCACTTACTGACTAAGGGCCATTCGGAGACTCCACTCCATCTAGGCACCGGTGCCCAGACTGTGCAGGGCAGGGGGCACACGCAGGTGAGGGCAGGGCCCTAAGCCACCACCCTGGGGCCGCGAGGTCGTAATGCTGCCCGCTGTGCCACCCACATGCTGCAGCTACTGGCTATTCAGTAAAATTTAGACATTTCACAGCAGTGGCCAATTAGATTTCATACAGAAAAACGGCGGCGAATGCTCTCTCAGCTGCAAATCTGGCTGTCATCCCGACAATAAGCCGGCCGTTCAGATCCTTTTCAGCATCAGCCGCACGTCTGTTTTAGGGACGGTCTTTCTGATAGGACGAGTCTGCTTTAGGGACGGTCTTTCTGATAGCACAAGTCTGCTTTAGGGACAGTCTTTCTGATAGGACAAGTCTGCTTTCAAGGCCAGATGGAAAAAAACAGCAAGGGCTACGATGCCTATTCTTTATCTTCAGTTCGTGCGATGGCAATGCTTATAAAGCCAAGGCTCCCTATGAACGCGAGAGCGTGTTTTTCACAAAATATATAGTTTACTGCACTAATTTAAAATGCATGATTTGATGGAGGGTTGAGTTGGCTGGCAACACTGATGGCTGTGTACAAAGGGAATTAAAGCAGGGTGCAGGGCTACAGTGATGTGCAACAGACTTTTGAAGAGGCAGGTGCTCCAGCATGGGGGATTGGCCAACTAGCTGGGCGGGGGATTGGCCAACTAGCTGGGCGGGGGATTGGCCAACTAGCTGAATACATTAGTAATTTTTCTCATACAGGAGATTTTGCAAGATGGTTGGTTATCAAAAAAGGGCACTCGGAACATCAAAGATGGAGCAATTTCATTCATTTAGGCTTAAAGGGCAGATGTTCAGGTCCCCCCTCCCACCACCAAACATATCATGTACAGATCTCTGGGGGTGTGGAACCAAACAAGGCAGCTAGCTACAAACACAGTCTTTATATCAGTAAGATCCTGTATGCGGACTGCAGATGTTTTATTTTTGTGTTGATCAACTGGATTTTGTGTTTGTGATTTGATGAAAGACCTTGATACTCCATCATCCCTTATTCCATAACCATTTATCCAGGGAGCCTGGAGTCTATCCCAGAAAGTTCAGGGCATGAGCCAGGGGACACCCTGCATGAAATGACATCATTGAAATATTCAGTATATATTTTAATATTGAAACTTGAGAAGACGGTTTACCCACCTACTTCAGTGAATTTCAATCTCTTACAGCCCTCTCCAAATATTCCATGTAGATACACCCCTTGATACATCCCAGAAAAAGTAATTAAACATTTTCTGTCTGCTGTTCTATTATTAAAGTCAGTCTGTTGTCTTTGTTCACGAGGCTTAACTGTGTAAACCTTAATCCTTGGCTTAAACATCTGAATAGCCCAGCGAGAACAGGCGAATGAAATATTAACTCCTCCGTTGTAAAGCAAGTGTCTCACAGTAAATGAGCAGGGTGACAGAAGCATTGCCGTAGATCTTCTGATAAGCACAGATTTTTAATCAGGCGCACATTTAAAAGATCTAAGAGTGTGAATGTAGTTGGAGGCTATAATAAAGCTGTTCTCATATGTAAATTTATTACAAACGAAAATGGTAGTAAAGCTATGGGAAATTGATAAGTTGCAAGTGAGACCTGAAGAAGGGCAAGCCAGCTGTTCGTATTGGGCGATGTGTGAAGCTGCAGAATCAGCCAATAAGAAGAGCTGTCTCACTCCCTTCATTGCAGTCATTGGCTGAGTTTGTTTCCTGCTGGTTATGTGCAGGTGGCCAGCGGGGGAGCCGCCACCCAGGGCCAAGTGGCGATCTTCTCGCTTAACAGGCCCACCCCCCGCTCCGTGAAGTCCTTCCAGGTGGGGGCACCTGTCCTGTGTCTGGAGTACGTCTCAGAGTTCGGTCAGCCAGACGAGGTCGAGGAGGGCATCAATGAGAGCCCATTCCGGATTGGCAACACCATTTGTCTGGGGCTCCAAGACGGCAGGTCAGAGAAGCGACCTGCAAATTCTGTTGATCTGGTCCCATTTTGTACAATGTTGCTCCACAGCAACTAACATATCGCATTACGAATAGATTTCAAACCAGTTGGCGGTATGCAATTTTAAAAAGTGCATTACAAGAAAACCAGACTGCAACAAAAGTGATGGGAACAGAAGCTTCAAAGATGAATCTATGAAGGAAAAAAAATCTGGGACCGTTATCTGCTGCCTGTACAATTGGAAATGAGTGGGTGAGAATTGTATTGAGGAAAATCATGGTGTCAACACATTTAGGTCAGTCAAAATGAGCTCTACATCAGTCAAAAGAGCTCTCTGTATACTAATCAGGTTTTATATGCTAATCAGCAGTACAGATGAATAATGTAATGTTCCACTAACAGTTGGATTAAACTTCACCTTTGATTAAACTGAAAAAAATGTGTACTTTAAATTTTGTTTTAATTTGCGTACATCTCGTATGTCTGCGTACATGCAGGAGGATCCCCTCATGATTTTCCTGTATTACATTTCCCAGAATCCTGGTGTACGGCAGTGTGGACACCACTGCACAGTGCTTGCTGACCTTCCGTGACCCCGAAGGCTGCCCTGTTCTGTGCCTGAAACACCTGCATGACCTCCTGTTCGCCGGCCTGGTGGATGGAAGGGTGATAGTTTACAGCCGAAAGAACGGAGGTGAGATTCCGCTCAGCCGATTGGATGACTTTTGGCCTTGAGTTCATTGCTGAAAAAAGCAGAGCCGCGTGATTGTGACTGGCACTGTACTGCACATAGGTTCAAACCCCTACTTTTACCAGACCCTGTGTATAAAGGTTATAGGTTTAAACCCCTTCCTGAAACTGAATAAAATTAATTTTATTAAAAAAATAAAATGTGTAATATACTATGTTCAAACTACTCTATGTACACTACAGGATCGTAATAAGCATTATGAATCCTGTTAAGGGTATCTAAAATAAAAGTTTCTTTGTATGTGACACAGAAAACACCCGACGTGACAACAGTAACGAAAAGGGAGAATAGGAGAGTTGATATTTTATGGCATCTATTACAATAGTGGTATGGTTTTTTTCTGCTTTGACAGTTCATGAATGTGGTTATATAGTATTTTATATAAAGAAAAATTTACAGCTGATTATTATTGGCATATACGGCTTCAGCGCTCGGCTCAGAATGAATTCTCTCTTCATGACTGAAGTGCCCTTCATCTGTCTTTTAACATTAAAGTACAGCTTCTGCAGAAACAAGGAAAAAAAAAATAGATTGTGTAGGGGTATTTAGCACTGGGCCACGGTTAGCAATCACTCTTCCACATTATACACTAAAATATTTTAAGAGATGTCAATGGAAATGTTCATTAAGAGTTCCCCATTTTGCATGTTATGATTTTGATGCATGAAACAGAATGTTTATAGGACTGTGACCTATGTTTAGTAACATGATAACTGCCAATGGGGCACTTCCCCCAAATTAAAGATAAGGACTTTGGAAAATGAAAAATTATTTTATGAAAATGGTTGTGGCAGAACTCAGACAAAATGTTCTGAAAGCTTTTGCTGGAAACCTTAGAGAGAAATGCAGGTTTTAAGCAGCAGAGAGCACTGAGGATTGTTCCAAGCTGAATGGCGTGTCCTGGGCTTGCAGAGGAACTCTGGGACCCGGAGTCGGGCAGACGGGTTTCCGTGGGGTCGGAGCCGGTCCGCACACTGCTGGCACTGGAAGACTGCGTTTGGGCCAGCTGTGCCAACCGGGTCACTGTCATAGAGGGCTCCAACCTGGACACTCGGGTGAGTAGAGCGGTCAGCAGGAACCTGTTATTGAGAAGCACGTGTCTTTTCCTCATGGCAGGTAGGGTGTGGCAGGTATAATTAATGATGAATTATTTTTAAAAAGGTGAAACTTTGTGAAGATTGCATTAGATACCAGTAATAATGGTTTACCTCATTTTGAAGTGTTGAAATCTGCTTTTTGCCCGCTGTATATTGTTTGTAAGCCTACAGAGCTCTCAGTAAAACCGCCTTGCAAACTGCTTAGTGATTCTGTTTTAGTGGGCAAACAATATTCATATTTCAGGATTAGTGATGAATGAAGAAAGTGGCAGTTTGCCGCCTTTTTAGATGACTGGCCCTGGGAATGATCCCAGTTTGTTTGGTAAATCTCAGCTGTGAAGCGCCCTGCCAGTTTGAATTGCTCTCTTATCTTCCAGGAACCCTATGGATTAGTATTATTATTATCAATGTTGACTAAAGTCTATTTTTGATACCTGGGAAGTATTAAGCGCCTTAGTTATTATTAGAAAACTGGCTTTCTTCTCTTAGGGCCGAGTTTCTGGTGATAATCACACAGCACAATCTGCTATCCAGTGTCACGTTTTAGTGTCTTTGTGAGCACTGCGCTGTATCCAGCATGGAGTGGAAAGCGTAAGACGCCGGAACCTGGAGATAGCGGCCAGAAGGCAGAGTGGCAGAGAGCACTCAGTATGGATTTAAAGCCTCTTAATTGTGTTTGAGAGCCGCAGTTACATATGTAGAGTGGATGTGATCTGTGTATGTAGAGTGGATGTGAGCTGTGTATGTAGAGTGGATATGCTGTGTGTATATAGAGTGGATGTGATCTGTGTATGTAGAGTGGATGTGATCTGCGTATGTAGACATCACACCTGTCATGCCGGGCTGCCCCAGGCTCCATCGCCCCTGGCTTTATCCACACAGACAAACATGGTCCTAGACTGGCCAAACGTGCCGTGCTATGACAGCACATCTGGATCAGAGCATCTGCCTGTAGAAGGCGTTGCCCTTCTGCTTGAGAAAGTTTTGAGGACTCTCACGTGTGATCGCTCCCCATAGAGCCTTATGCTCCTTTATAAAATTACTCTGTTTTGTTTTTTTCTTTTTCTAAACTGTGGATGATTTGTCAGAATTTTGCTTGTCACTCCTTACCAAACACGTCCCCGCTGATGGATGTGCTCTATTCACTCTGATATGTACCCGACTCGATTACGCTGTGTAATGTGACATATTGCACACTTGAGGACTTTTCTGTACCATTACATATCTTGTCAGGGTGTTGTATAGAGTCGGACAGAGATACAGCACCGATCGATGTGTATGTAGCGTGTATTTAACCTCTGTAATCTGTGTATGTAGAGTGGATGCAGCCTGTGTATGTAGAGTAGATGTGGCCTGTATATGTAGAGTGGATGCGGCCTGTGTATGTAGAGTAGATGTGGGCTGTATATGTAGAGTGGATGCGGCCTGTGTATGTAGAGTAGATGTGGGCTGTATATGTAGAGTGGATGCGGCCTGTGTATGTAGAGTAGATGTCACCTATGTATATAGAATAGATGTGTTGACATAATATGAAGCATTATATTTCGTTAAAATGGTCACAGTGTCCTAGTGCAAAGTCGGGTATTCATTTCTCATAAAAAACGTGTCTTTTAAAACACTGCCAAGAAAAGGATTATGTTATCTGCTATAACTCTTGCTGAAGGAGAACTAAACAGCATTAGTAAGAAGAAAAAGTTTTTAAATTTCAGATATGATCAGTTCATGAGAGACATAACTTGCTGCTGTATAGTAACCAGGCTATCCTGGGATACATGGAATGGAGATAAAGCTTAACTTGTCCAGGACCCCGCAGAGACCTGTTTTTCAGATCCTTCTCAAACCTTCCGCAAGTCATTCACAGATTAATTCTCAAAAGGCATAATCAAGACCTAAGAGTCACCTGGGTGGGTCCCATCTTCATGTTGTGGTGATTTTATATGTTTCCTGCACAATAAGAACAGAAAAGCCAAGAATCTCACCAAAAATCCCCCATCCTCTGACAAACCCATACATTACACTGCATCATGTTTTACTGAGTACTGAGACGGTACTGCGCTATTTTTGAGAAGCCAGGGTCAGCCAGTCCCTGGAGCAATTGGAGTTAGGGGCCTTAGTATATTACTGACCATGGGATTTGAGCCAACAACCTTCCAATCGCAGGAACAGAGAGTCCTAACCCACTGAGCTGCACACTTAAGGTATGAATGAACATTACATTTATATAGCACTTTTCAAGACACCCAAAACGCTTTACAGAACCAATGGGGGGGTCACTTCAACCACCACTACTGTATAGCCCCCACCTGGATGAGGACCTTGGTTTTATGTCTCATCTGAAGGACGGCACCATTTTTACAGCACAGTGTCCCTGTCACTGCACTGGGATCCACACTGACCCCAGGATGGGCTTAACCTGTCAGCCACACCAAACCTCTTCCAGCAGCAGCCCAGCTTTCCTAGTTGGTCTCCCATCCAAGTACTGGCCAGGCCCAAACCTGCTTAGCTTCAGGTGGATTTCATAGTCTGAACTGCAGTTGGTACGGCAACTAAACTACACTAAATCAAAGCAGACGCAGATACAGTTGCCTATACAGACATACAAGCCTATAGTTGTGTATGCTTACATACTGAGACTGGATCTCTGAAAATGGCAGACAGAACATTACACAGCTTTGATGAGTGTAGCTTATAACTGTGTTTGTCTGTAGCTTTACCATCAACAGGCATTATATTTAAACCACAAGAATCCAGTGTTCTTAGAATTGCGTCTAGATCTTGCAAACCAATAAGGCCGCAGCCAGTCCTTTCAGTGCTTTGCATTTGAGAGGAGTTTTGAAGTCCATCCTGATTTTAAAGCACATTCGCACCTCTTGTCTGGCAACAGCTACTTCCTGATTACCATGATCATCCTCTGCACCTCTGTGGCGAAAGCGTGGGGAGACACGACTCCCAGACCAAATGAGCGATGCTTATTTTTCAGCAGAGGTGAACTAAGCATGAAAGGGGAGCAATCAAAGAGGCTTCGTACACGCTCACGCTGATGCCCCGCGGCAAGGGCAAAACGGCGGGTTCCAGCACTTCCGCACACATGCCGGCGCGCGGCATCGATGCGGCTGTCTGGGTCAGCCCTGCCCCATTTCTTCTTTGTCGTTATTTTAATAGTGAACTGATGCAGCCTCTGCTATGTGGCTTAAGTGGTGCATTCCGTATCATGCTGGTTAAGAACACTTGCGTTGACTAATGGTTATTGGTTCACATCCCAGGAGATGTTGTCGTGTGCTACCATGGTTGCGGTGACAAATAAAGCTGTTGCGTCGGATTAAAGTTTTATGTAAATGGAGAAATTAAGACAATAGAAAAGGCAGTTTGTGTGAATTATTCAGGGCTGTGAAATCAGGGCCCTTGTGTTGTGCCCATGTGTGAGGCACTTAATCCGAATTGCTCCAGTAAAATATCCAGCTCTGTAAGCAGCAGAAATGAATGAAATCCAGGTTGTTGTTTTTTTAATGCTGAATTTTAGGGACAGTGCACTGCTTCATCCAAAGAGAGAGTGCAACCTCTGCTCACTGAGGTGTTTCCTTTGTATAGTGAAGCCCTTTCAAACACGATGAGACATATCTTTAATGTCACATTTCAGCTGGAATCAAAGCATTAAAAAAGGTGAAACCCACACAGACCAAGCAGAGCTGTTGTCAGCTCCGATAAATCACATTACATTGTTCCTTTGTGACAATCAGGACAATCTGCTGCTGATATTATGTGCTGAATATTAGACAAAATAAATAAATATGGTTCCTCACTTCCCTCCCTTCACATCTGCTAAATTAGTAAATAATCTGTAATTACTACATGTCTGTTTTTCTTTTGTCTGTGTCACGCTCAGGCTACACCCCACCCAAACTAGATGCTTCCAAGGAGCCTAGCGTAAAGTACACACGTACTTTAGTGTTTTCCTTCCAATAGCATATGCAGATGTGAGGTCAGGCGTGTATTTCAATAAATGGATTTTATATTCACGCTGATTATTTCATTAAAATCGAGATCAGCATTTGCATCATTATAAAAAGGTTCGTAATATACTTCGTTATTACAAAAAACACTAGCTAGACCTTCTGCTCAATGATTCAGTTAGATGTAGCTATGTAAATAAGAAGAAGTAAATAATGTACCGGATGTTATATTTGATGATGCATGTCTTAAACAGGCATTTGACTTGTCTCATTGCTTCTCTCATCAGAGATCTTTTCTTGCATTGCTTTTGGTAATTTTGCACTGTTGCGCTGATCAATATGTTGTAGCCTGCTAAATATCGGCAGTGGTCTCAAATATTTACTTGTGGACTGTTGAGTTTCCGTGACGACGCTCTCGTGATGTCACTACATCTCCCTCACTCCGCCCCTTTTGTGTGTCGCTCCCTCTGTCCCCCTTTCAGAGTTTTGAGGTGCACCCTGACGCGAGGGTGAGCGTGGCACATATGGTGCTGGCGGGGGGTGGCGTCTGGATGGCGTTCTCTGAGAGCTCCTCCATCCGCCTGTTTCACACGGAGACGCTGGAGCACCTGCAGGAGATCAACATCTCTGCTCGCTCCGCCTTCCTTAATCCAGGCAAGTCGCCGCCGATGGGAGAGGGTGCAGGCCGAGCGAAAGCCACTAGACCAAACAAACTGAACCGACGAAGAAGAAGAATTGCAGTCTTCACTTACTTTCCCTTCAGGCATAATTTGCTTTCTTCACAGAGGGAAAAAATAGATTTTTCTGGTTAAATCGAAGGGAAAATGGACACAAGTCACAAAATCAGTAACTAGAATGATGCGACATGACTGAAATAGCGGCCTTAAAGCCTGAAAGATGCTTTTCTGCTCTATTTGGAAATGCTTTACTACGGTTTTTTTTCGTACCCGCCTGGTCATTTCTGTCCACAAGCCTGAATGAGCTTGAATATTAAGACCAGTTGTGATCGAACTGGAGACTCGCTAGTTAAAGGGCGGCAGTAACAAAGGGAGCAGATCTCCAAGGAGCCGTGTGTCGTTGGAGACAAAGTTTTTCAGACAGGGGGTTATTAGAAGTGGTTGCTATAGAAACATTTTTCCTTCGACTCGAGCTGAGGTTTCTGCCTTCTCCTTTTGTCTGTGTGTTTCACTCTCATTCTCCATCTGTGAATCAATGTTACAAACATATCTGCACTCTCGGAGCTCCCTGCCCTCTTGACTAATAAAATATTCATCAACAAACCTGTTCCCTATGCGTGTTGATCCACCTAAGTAAGTGCCTGAAAAACAGGAATATTGATGGGTTTTTAACAGCAATAGCCTTGCCCTTAACTTAATAACCTTAGCAAACAGTGCGCTGCCTTTCCTCTGCAGGGGTATTAGTGGATCTGCTAAATCTAAATATATTTAAAAGATCACAGTGGGGCTGTTGGTATGGCTGTTGCCTTAAGGCTTCTTCTTCGCTGGGTTAAACTGAGGCTCGGCTCAGAGGTCATGTTCTGCTCGCGTTTTGGGATAGGCTTCCACCCCCGTTCCACAACTCTTGTTCTGATGGATCAGTGAGTGCCGTGGGAGGGGCGGGGGCCCCCCCCCCCCCCCCCCACCCCGTCCCCCCGCCTTATGCCATCTGCTTTTCTTGATAGACTCTCAGCACTCAGGTCATAATTGGCTGAGTGGTCACTGATAATTAATGGATAACCAGAGATTAGGACTTAAGAGTTTATATTTTTAATAATATAAAATACAGGCATGTCTGGCTTACGGATAACTCATAATTATGAACACACTTCCATAAAGCCTATTATATAAAAAAATTGTTTTAAGTACAATAGTTCATAATAACAAACGCACACGCTTACTTTGTGATGCTCGCGAAAATATTGCACGGCTTCAGCGGTCCATGAGTTCGAGGTACAGTACAGTATAGTACAGTACAGTATAGTATAGTACAGTATAGTATAGTACAGTACGGTACCATATATAGTTACTGTTTTTATTACCATATACTTATTATTATGCACTGTATCATTATTTTTCCAACTTGCCTATAAATTCAACTGTAAGCCAGACTTAGGGAATGGATCTCGCTGGTAACCAGGGGGCTGCATGTAACATCCCAGTGACACGACGTCCCCCACGACTGGGAGTGCAGGTTAGAAGTTTCCTGTGCTTTTCTCAGAACTTCTCCCTGAAAACCTACATGTCCACACAAGCCGGAATAGCCACAGTTATCCCTGGTCAAATGTAACAGCATGGAGCAGTGGAACAAAAATAAAACCCCTTCTCTGTGCTAATTATGGCGTGCATCTGCGCTCTGTACGCTGGCAGATTTTAAACAGCGGGACCAAGCGTCTGCTGTGACTGGTGGGGGGTTCGAGTTTGGTAAAGCCAGTCTCTCTGGGTCTCTCCCCTCCCCCAGGTCCGGAGACAGTGCGTGTGACCAGCTTGCTGATCTGCCAAGGGCTGCTGTGGGTGGGCACCGCTCAGGGCGTCATCGTCACGCTGCCCATACCCAGGTTGGAGGGCATCCCCAAAATAACAGGTGATGAGTGGCAGCGGCAGCGTTCCCCCCCGAATGCCTGAACGCCGTCTCAGTGATACCTTAAGGGCCCCCGAACCCTTCGCTGATGTCATCACATATGCCGTAGACCAGTGGTCCCCAACTTTTTCCTACAATGACAGATATTTCTACAAAGAATATCTTGGGGAGCTACCAAGATTTTTCTGTGGGGGGTGGGTGGGAGTGGGTTCGTAGGGCGCGTCCCCCTTGGTAGATTTTAATGACCGGGGGAGGTATGAAGGTGGCAATCTGACTGTTGTGATCGACTAGGAATGTCTTGAAAATTGACCTGTTGGTAGTGATCAACTGGTTGGCGACCACTGCTGTAGACATATAATAATACAAACTTTCCCTTTAAGCTTGTATTTATTGGTACTAATTGTACAGCTTTGCACTATTTTATTGTATAGTTTTATTTCTGCTCATACATTATAATAATGTACATTATGTTCTAAGTTATCTGTGAACGTATGCACCAGAACCGCTAGAACAAATTCCTAGTCCCTGCAGTTGTTCCTTGCAAAAGTTGTTCCTTGCTGCTGTCGGTACCTTAGGGGAACTGCCTGGATTGTGAACTGTGCACTTGTCTCTGCGTGAGCAGGGAAGGGGATGACTTCCCTGAACGCACACAGAGGCCCGGTCGACTTTCTGGTGGCCACCACCAGCACCCTGTCCCCGGAGCTGCTGAAACGGGACTCCGACATGGACGGGCAGGACTCGGCCAGCGGCGGGGAAGACCGCGCCGACTCCTCGTCGCAGGAATCCCTGCAGCAGGTCAACGGCTCCCCCAGGCGCGATGCCAAGTCCAGGGGAATCCTGCTGCAGTACCGGCTGCGGTCCACAGCCCAGCTCCCGGGGAGGCTGCTTTCGGCTCGGCCCGAGGGCTCGTCCGACTCCTCGCTGGAGTCCCTGGAGCACGGCCCAGAGGACGGCTCCATCTATGAGCTGAGCGACGACCCCGAGGTGTGGGTGCGAGGACGGCCCTCGGCCCGGGATGGCAGCCGGAGGGACAAGGTCACCTCGGCCGCCGTCGTCTCAGGGGGCAGGGGCTTCCGGAGGCTGGTGGCAGAGGACTGGCCGGACGGCGGAGAGACGGCCGAGAGCACCCTCATGGTGTGGCAGCTTCCCCTCACAGTCTGATGAAAGGGGTGGGGCAGAGGGAGTCATGTGACCGTGCTCCCCCTGGTGGAGAGTGGATGCAGCGTGCTGCAGGAACCTTACCCCTGAATCCCTACTCTGCCCAGGAGACTCCACACTGGTGTCTTCCACGCCTGTTTCAATACAGATCCACACAAACTTTTGACATGCTCACAGAATGCTGTATCTACAGGGACTGCCCTGCTGTACGAGATGTTCTCTCTCTGTCGAAACTCTGTATACATATTTAAACTATACTGTACTGTTTTTTGGGTGGGGCTGGGAGATTCCATAAGCCACTAAGAACTCATTCCAGGAAACACTCTGGACCTTGTTATCAATCTGTTGTCAGCCACATGTGTTCCTGCATTCATTATTGGAAATAATCGCACTACGCTGTAGCAGTCGAACTGGTTTATCTTGCGTCTTTGTCAGGAGAGGATGAACCTCGCAGAAAAGGAGCGTGGCATTTAAGAAGTAACGGTACAGTCTGGTTGACAAATAACTTCCACCTCCGACTCATTTGCGGGAGCCCAGCAAATGTCTTCCTGCATTTCCTCTACTGAATCCTTTATCATTCCAAACATAACAGACTATAACAGACATATGAAGGAAGCTGTGCTTTCGTTTGGCTCCGCCACGAACAAAGGAGGGCCGCCATAATGAGGGAAGCAGTCATGGAATTTTATGGTGTGTTTCAGGTACTTAATGATACTAGTTTCACTTCCACTGAGTCATTTTGCTGTAAAATAAAGAGATTGTGTCCCACAGAGACATCTGTGTTTGTCTCCAGAGTGAATAGGCTGCAGAAGAGATGCTGAGAAAGGACGATCACCTGGTGCACTGTACCCTGCCTCCAGCGCCGTCCCTGTTGTTACGGCTACGTTCATTTGACCAATCGTCAGCGTACAAATCACGTTTAAGGTCCTGCCAGATGAAATTGTTGATGAGCCCAGAGAGTATTATCATTTGTCATGAATATAAATGAGCAACTCTGATGGCGGGAATGCGACCCGCTGCTCTGCCAGCTAGAAGACGTTTCCATTCTGGTACCTGTTTTTTTGGTTGATAATTTGGTGTCACGAGGGCCGTTATTATTATGGTTTTCCCCCTGCGACGGCCTGTGTTGTTTATAATCTCAGCGTCCTGGTGCTTTTTCTTAATGTCACTTATGGAACATGTGAAGGCACCCAGGGACGCTCGCTTCTCGCGGCGGACGGCGAGCCGGCCACCTCCGCCACATTGCTGAAAAACCCCACTTTATGCTCTTCTGAATGGCTTGGGGGTACAATTTGCTTCAATTCTGGCAGCAGGAAAGAATCAAGACATGACTGTTCTAGACATAAACCCAGATAGCAGCCTGCCTACAGGATAAGAAACGGGAGCTTTCCAAGATGTGTTACAAACATTTATGTCATTTATTTAGAGTAACAAAATGTCTGCAAGAAGCCAAGTTGCCATAATTTCACCTCATTTAAATGGCTATATATAAATGTATATACAGTAACTGTGGATAAAACTGCAAGGGGGCCATCAAACCGTTGTCATACACTGTCATTCCTTAGTCCAAAGATTGAAAATACCTCCTGTCTTTCTATTTCAGACACTTCAGCATAAGCACTAATTTCTCTATTCTGTTCTGCCAGTGCTGTCAAAGAAAATAGCAGCGGGTTTCGGGGACTTCTGACGACTGTTTTGCGTACGTGTAGGTAGCCTCAGTAACTGTCTTTGACTTCGGGATTTAATGAATATATTTAATTTATTAGTGCATTGCTAAGGTGTTATCACTCTGTTCGGCTCGGACACTCCAAGAAAATTAAACGTCTGCTTACATGCGGGGAACACGATAACGGTAAAAGGCAATCTAGAATCTAAATTAAAATCCAGATCAGCTCCACCTCCCCAACACCCAAAGAAAGCATAGATAAACAGTTACTAGAGGTGCACTTTTGGTGGTCTGACACTGTGTCTACAATGCCTCTTAAGTAAAGGAACTAAAAGCGAGATTCTTGGCTCAGAGCAATTACGTTTTTAAATAAAGACGGCTGCTTTTATAGATGCTCTGTAGTGTTATAGCTAATTCCATAATGTATATGTCAAAAACATCAAGTCCTATGGCCCTGTTTTGGTTAAATGATTAGAATATTAGAGATGGATGGATGAATGGATGGAAGAGCATCATGTTTTTTTCATAGTATAGAAGTCAGGTCACTGACTAACTTATGAAGCTTTAAGCTCCATCGCATGTTGCACGTTTACAGTCCTTATTTCAGTCTTTAAAAAGACTTTACTGTTCCATAAGTGTTCGATTTTATGAATAACGTTATTAATAGTTTAATCAACATGCAAAACCAGTCCAATACAGATGCAGTGTAACAACGTGCAGAATTTAAGCCAATGCACTTTACAAACATCAAAAGTGGATTTCATGAAAAAATACACTTCAGACAGCGACTAAGTCTTGATACACTTCAGCTTATATTGTAATTTTAGATCAGATTTCCGTTCAGCTGGTATATATAAGCAATGCAGTGCTTTTTATCCCAGCACTATTGTACCAAACTACACAGCTCAGCCCTGAATGGAAAGTGACACATCTGTCATTCAGGAGGAGGCTGTTAATGACAGAGAACTTTAGAGGATGCTGAAATGCTAATTACGATTACTTTAAAAGGCAGCATCACCATAAAAATTAAACCAGGCTATGGCTTTTAACTGTTAAGTACCAATTGTGTGTTTGGTGGGTATTTCAAAATTAATAATTCTGCTACTGTTTTATCGCCTTTCTTTTGTTGTGGGCAGTGTACAGTAATTCATGGCAGTGAATGTCATTGTCATTGTCATTGCTATTGTCATTGTCATTGTCAGTGGTGAAATTTCTTAGAATTCCCAGATACATTTAGCCACATTGATATATATCCAATTTCGTTAGACCTACCGCTTTCTTCTATTAGGAAATCAATTAAATGTATTTAATTGATTTGTGTCCACAAAACTATGGTTTGATACAGGAGAGTGAATATTCCCAACGTAAATCAACAGTCTATTAGGCCAAGTGTGTTATATGTCCTAAGTGTGTGTGTGTGTGTGTGTGTGTGTATGTTTTCAACTGTATATGATGATGCACTAAGATTTCTGTGAGGCTGTATTCGTAATGGCTGAGTATACAATATTCTGTGTGGAGAATCATCTTCTGAAATTATGAAGGATGTTTGCTTCAAACAGGTTTGTCGGCCAGTCAGCACAATTGCCTCAGTTTTATTTATTAATTTTAGTTTTAGCAGGGAAAGCGGTTTAATTTGGGGTTTATGGTTTCAGATGTGGCACATTAATAATATTTTTGTGCATATTGCAACCCTGGCACTGTTTCCTCCACCTTGAGGCCTTCGAGAGGGTGCAAAGAGGGGCACCCACAGGCTGATGGATGCTAATACAGATTCTTACAAAGTAATATTCTGTAAATTCAACCCTAAATCACTCAGGGGGGGGGATCAATAGCCTCAGTCGTGATAAACAGCAGGAAGGTGATTTACCGCAGACACAGTCAGGCCGGGATGGCGAATCTAGCCTTGTGAGCTGGGAGTTCAGGCTTAAAGGGGATTGTGTTTCCTGACTCGGGGTTCACAGTTACCAGACAGTGGGGGGGTCAGCAGCAGAGCAGGGTTAAACACAGAACAGCTGTATCAGCAAGCGGAGAGCAAATTAGTCTGGACGGGGGTGTCAGAGCGGCCTAATCGAAGCTGGTGTCACAACAGATGTGGGGACTGGGGCAGGTTTACGGGGGGNCAATGCAGCAGAAGGAATGAATGAAGGACAGGTGGGGGCAATTACCACAAATGCCAGGTCCCCCTGCAAGAAGCTCATCTTAACGTGTTAGAACACGCCGCCAAATGCGTCACATGGTCACGTAGCACTACTTCAAAATAAATTAAATGCCTTGTTAATTCATCAGAAGGAAGAATGCTATCATTATGTATTTTTAGATTGGTAATATTGTGAATATTCTGAATATTGTGAAATGTATTATATTGTGAAATATGTGATAGAGTCCCCTTAACGAGTTGCCTGTTTAAATATAATTCCAGCCCATGATAAGAAAGTTTCTTTATACCTTTTCCCATTTCTGTTCATAAACGTATTGCTCAAGTAACATGCAAATTGTAGTCTCTAATGGAAGGCTTTCGAATCCTAGCAGTTGTGGTGTCTCAGTAAAACACACATGTTTCTTAGATATAATCAAATTTCAGATGCAATTTAACTCTGCGAGACAAAGAACAAGGTTCACACTAGTGTTTAGGTTGTCCTGCCGGTAGCTAAACTCTAGGTCTGGCTCATCCACGCGTTCTGCCTTCTATATGCAGATTGTGCGAAATCGCTTCCAGCAGCAAGACACTCGGTATAAGAATCTGAAATGCCCTGTGTGTCCAGGGCCCTTTCTCAGCCGTTAAGAATCACAGAGCAGCTGTTCTCACCGACGAGCGTTAACTCTGCTGGGTAGAAGGGGAAAAAAAAAGATAGGGAAAGCGATTTCCATCAGGTGCGGTCATCATCATGTCAGCCCAGATCTGGAACTACCGCAGAATCAACAAAGATTTTTGCATTGATATATGAGAAGCTGCATTAAAGCAGGGCAGTCTTGACCTAGTGGTCAGGGCGTGTACTGCGAGGCCACAGGGCAGGATGCCAGTCCATCATGGGGTATGAGGTCACATTGAGTCCTAGGTCACACACTAAGGGCAACTTAGACTCACCTGGGCCGGGAACTCTGCCGGTATGCTGGACCAGTGCTGCCCCCGATCCCTAAAATAACACAAATCACAATCAAACACAGCATGTCAACATACCTAGTTTCAGGCTAAAAAAAATCCCACCTTGACTTATATTTTTGTTTCAGGCCCGATTATTGCAGCGTTGGTCAGCTGCAGTGCACTAGTTCTGGCTTTAACTTGAAGAAACTCCTTACGCTGGACAGTTTATTGGAGGGGTTTAGATTAAGTACTTTGTTTCATTTAGCATGGAGCCCCAATATCTACAATCCTGACACCTTACGTAATACACCGAGCTCCGCACCATGAATTACACGTGTGAAAGAACATTGTCTCCACCAGGAATGTACACCCCACATCTTGTGACCTACTGAAAGAAAAGAAGGAACCTCACATATTTCATAACCATGCGGCAGCTGTCATCTTTGTTAGGAATTTTAAGACTGTGCTTTGCCGTGTCATTCATACAGTCCTTATTAACATGTACTTTTGTGTCAAATTAATGCCTAATCAATATTGAAAGTATTTTGTAGGTGAAGTCCCTAGGTTAATATTGTTTGGCACCAGGGTGAATTTCTGCAAAATTGGAAATAAATGTAGTTAAATTTCATGCTCGATGGGTAGTTAATGTACGTGAATTAATATCCTGGAAGGGTCAATACTTAGATCAAGGTTGGGGATTATTATTTTTTCTAGAAAATGATGACAGTTTATATTGCTGGACTGAACTGTGTAGTGAAGATGACATCTGATAATTGTTATGCTGAACCAAAGCATGTGGATCGTTGATAAGGTCCCGTACGCACAGGGATCATGCATCGTAATCAGTTGATTGCCATCCCCTCCCACTATTCCCTGGTGTTTGTCACATTAGCTACGTGGTTGCGGAGGTGTAGAGAAAATGCACACGTCAGAAAAGCGTCAGTGTTCTTTTACGGAGAACCCTACTATCAGCATCTTCTCACAAGAAAAAGACTTTGGTTGCTCTTTAATAAGGAGACCCTGTGCTTATTTTGATTTCATTTGGTCTTTTTGCAACCAGTCGGGTTCATGTGAGCAAAGTCAGATTTTTATCCTTGCTGTTTTAATAACTTCTCCTCTGGGTTGACTTTCAAATCCTCCCGTCATCAATGGGGAGCAGAGGCCAATTTTAGAAATGAAACAAGTGAAGGGAATCTACAGATTTCCCAAGTGATGGTTCTTATCTATCCTTCTGGGGGCACATTTGCAAGTGATGGCAAATTGGATTACACTGAGGACCGTCGTTGAGGATGTATCTTGCATCAGAAAGGCCAGACATGACTAGCATAGGCAATGCACACTTTGCTGAGAAGATGGAATATGAAAATATGTTTGCAAACTCTAACCAAAGATTTAAACAAGATCAAACTGTTAAAAGGGTACACTTATATTGTAGCCAGCAGAGGGTATAACAGTGAAGGCTATAGATTAATAATCGGACATTTGCTAGCTGAAATCCCAGGAGGGGTCCTGTGGTTGTTAGCAAGGTACTTAATCTGAATCACTTTTGGAAAATTTGCGGTTGTATGAACAGATACACTCTTTGGATAACACTTTCAGTGTCATAACGATAGCAGTCTGTTTGTTAAAAAGGTTGTGGCTTGGTCCAATTATAGCGGATCACTGCTCCTGAGACCTTAAGCAATGCACCAGATGGCTGTAGTGCAAATGTTTTACTGTAAATACTTTTTTGCTGGTTAATTAAAATTGCATGAATTACAGGGGTCAGGGAGTAATTTTCAATTTTCTCTGCACTAGTGAATTCATGGGTGTTTATCTTTTTCCATCTGAAAATCCTCTTATGATGCTTAACAGCTTATTTGTCCGCATACACTATGTTACATCTTGTCGATTTATTCATTGATTTACTCAAAGGGAATTACATATAGAAATGATACATATAGAAACAACCTTACTCAGTGCATAGCACCGTAGTCGGACACTAGGGTTGTGGGTTTTGTAAATGTCCACACCTTGTTTGCCTGATGTCTGCTTGTTCTTTCCGGGCTTGAGCGGGTCTCTTCTGGGTATTCCACGTTCTTCCCACAGTCCAGAAACCTGTGGTTAGGTTTTACCTCTCTAGATTACCCTATGATGGACTGGCATCCTGTTCAGGGAGCCCACTGCCTTGTACCCAAAGCTCACTGTGAATAGCGTGGTGGTTCAGTAGGTGGTACTGTTGCCTCTCGACTCCACATTTTGGGGTATGAATCCTGCCCCTGTGCAGTTTGCATCTTCTTCCTGTGTTGCATGGGTTTCCCCCCCCCCCCAGGTATTTCATTCTCCCCCCTTTCCAAAATCATGCAGCTGGTCAAATTTGCATCTCTTAATTACTTACTGATGCATGGCTTAGTGTTCAGGCGTGTGTGCCCTGCAATGGACTGGCATCCCATCCAGGGTGAACCCCAGCTTCACGCCCTGTGCTGTCCCCGTAAACCTGAGCAGGATAAGACATTAGAAGACGAATACATGCAAATTACGTAAACTCTCCCTGACCCGTGTTAGCCACAGCAGATGCTAATACGCTTGTTATGTTCACAGTTTCAGTGCATTGCTGCACTGCTGTGGCATATGCAGGGAACAGCAACACAGCCTATTAAAAACCACGAGCTTTCATTGTTCTTCTTTACTGTTTCTCTCGGTTTCCTAACAGTTGGATCCCACAGAAATTACAGAAGATGCAGCAGTAAGAAAAGAAAACCATGTGATGTTTTGGGTTTATGAAAGGACAAATTAACGCTAAAATCCCAAATAATCTGCACCTTCCATTCTGTTCATCCAGTACAGCCTCACAGAGAACCTGCCATAGGATGGGGAACAGCCTGAATGAGATGCTGGTCCTTTGAGGAGACGCACACATGCACACAATGGACAATTTAGGGTCACCAATTACTGAACACATGTCAGCCAGCTTTTGTAGCAGATGCACAGTGCACATTTTTGTGTTATTACTATCTTATAGAAAATTAACAAAGACAGCTGATCAACACAAACAAATTCCATCTGAAATATTTGTCTAGCATTCATAAAATCCATTCTATGTCGCAGACTACTTTTTGAAAATAAATGCAGGTTGAATAATGGTACGAGGCGGGTGAATTTGGGTGAGTTCTTGAGTTACCATGGTGACTGATCACCAGTCCTGTACCTGCTGATGCTTTAGGTAATACAATCTAACTAAGCTGGATTGGATGGACCACTGGTAGGGTCATCTAGTGTACATCCCTAGAGAGAAGAGAATTTGACACACGCTCCCTGGGAAGTAATTGGGGGAGTCTGCATTATGGAAGTTTTTTCTTGTTCAGTATCTGGTTCTTCACTTTGAAGTGCATGCACCTCACATCCTGTGCAATGCCCCTTTCTCTTAATAAAGTCTTTTGGTGAAACGTGTGTCCTGCACCTCATTCCAGCTTGTGGGAGTTCTACTTACACAAAAATGTTCTGAGGGCAGAATGAAAAATGATTGGTTCCGAGAGATAACCAATCAGATTGTAGAGGAGGCGGGACCAAGACATCTGATCAGTTGATCCAGTCTCCTCTAGTTGCTTGGACCCGCCTCCTCTGCAATCTGATTGGTTACCTCTCTGAACCAATCATTTTTTGTTCTACCCTCAGAACATTCTTGTGTATGTAAAACTCCCATGAGCCTCATTCCAGCCTTTGTGACACTAGGATTATAATCCATTTCTTTGTATTAGCTGTGTATATCAATTTCAGCTCCTTTAGACAAATGCACTGTTATAGCTGAATTGGTGCGGGGCACTTTTCTTAGCCATGGGAATTGTGAACCGGCACGAACTTGGCTCACAGGTAAGAAAAGGATCAAAGACACAAACATTGCACAGGTGCAGCAACTTGGGTACAGAAAGCAGCCTCCTAAGCTACAAATCGAGTTGTTTTTACCGCTTTTCATCTTTGAATCCTGAGGCCTGGCTATGTGGTGTCTTCTGAACCTAGTAATCCACTGGAACCACTAAGTGCATCATCCAGTGTTGAGGAGCTGAAGAAGTCGACGAGCTTAACGGCCATAGAGATCATCTCAGTGAAGCACCGGGTGCTGTTGCATGTATGAATCGGCCGTCGTGCAGGAGAAGTGAAAGGAAGGAACGAATCTCAGGCAGATGCTGGGGTACATCTGCCAACAGCCACACCGTCGTCCAGCAGTTTGGGCTTTTCTCCTGTCCTAAAGAAAGCAAAACCACTCAATAGAATCATCTTACCTTGAATATCTGCCGCGTGCAGGGGTGGGGGCAGCTTCTCAGCTGTTTAAAATCAGAGAGCAGCTGTTCTCTCAGGTGAGTGATACTCCGCTGGGAGAAGGAAACACAAGGGAGAGAAAAGTGATTTCTATCATGTATGTCCGTTTTTGTTTCGGCCCTGATCAAGTGACCTACTAGAACTAATTGAGTTTTCAGTAAACAAACAAATAGCTATGACAAAGCACACCAGCCATTTGTGTGAGAACACAATGTGTTTTTATCACCTGTGCTGGAAAATATATACATTTCTGTCAGCATGGTGATGTTAAAGCTGAAATTTTCAAAGGAGGGGGAAATTATACCTCTTGTGCTAAGGAAATAGCACTAGTACAATATTTTAGTAACAACTAACAACACCCTGTTGTGAAATACAGTTCCTTCCATTTGCATTCACATTGTATTAATATTTATAATGTCTGTGTATTATTATATTGCATTATCGTGTGTAATATACACTGACTGGAGTTACAGCAGGTACAGTAAACGTCATTGCATCACAGTGTCATTGTTGTGGGCTTGAATGTGGCCCCTGTTTTCTCAGGCATATTCTTGCTTGGAATGTGACTTTAGGGTCCCTCCTGAGGTAAAACAACAACATGTCCAGGTGAATGTACTACTCCCCACACATTTCGTGTATAATATTCAGAGACAGAAGATACTGAAGGCCCACATTTATGCATCTGAATTGAAAAAAAATAATTCTGGGGGAGAATTATAGAACAAGTAATCAGACTTTTTATTATTGAAATGGACAATTATTGTTGAATACTCCAAGCACCATTCACGTGTAGACTATGTAAGATATAAACTACCCCCCCCCCCCCCCACCACCAAAAAAGAAAAAAGGAGGACTGCAATCATGACCAACAACAATAAATTCAGTGAACTAAAGATCACTAGATGAATTGTGTATGAGTGCAGCGAGTGTGTGTTTAACAGAGAGAGAGCGAGAGAGACGGAGAGGGAGCCTGCCAGTATGAACTGCTATAGTACTCCCGAAATGTTGGGGGGAAATCAGTCCACGCTTTAACAATTTAATTTGACGTAGATGATTACTTATGTATCTCGATATATTATTGTCTTGCCCCTGTTTGAATTGTACAATGAGCAGTTTATGCGGACTACCTAATTTCCCTCCTTTAAAGTGGCGGACGACAAGCAGCCAAAGAATGGAGAGCAATTAAAGGATTGATTACAAAATATGGAGAGGATGATAGCTTTTTCTTTACGGCTCCTCGTGTGCGTGGAACTAATGGATAGAGCTGTCGGTAAGTCACACAGTTTTGTAATGGTTTTCGTCAGACGTGAGTCTGTTTCCTTGATGTTCCGTGTCATTTGTAGCGCAGAATAGGTTTCTTGCCAGTTCTTTTTATAGCTGAATAAAGAAACGTTTATTTCCTGAATTAATTTCTCCGGGGCTCCCTGCAGTGTGAACGTGTTTAAACCAATGATGCACGTTATAAAAACATAACAGTGCTTTTGCCTCTGATAACCTGTCATCTCGCGCTTCGTTTGTTAATTGCCGTATACTGTGCATATACGAAATGTATCCCAGTGAACTTTTATCCTTGTTTTTTTTTTTTATCAGACTGCCAGATTGACGGGTTACAATATGTATGTTCTGCTGTCAGGATGATAAAATTATAAATGTAACGATGTGGTATGGACTCGTCCTCTATCGGAGATCCTGCAACTAGTGCATGGGGGAGCGCGATTCGCCCCCCTGCTATTTAAAAATGTCATTTCTGCATGTAATTGCGAGCTGGTGTTGCAGCATATCGGAAGTGCACAGCGTGTTGTGGTCAGTTGATCCGAAGCCGTTCCTGGTTACACTGCGGTAAAGGGCTGAAAACACGCTGTTGCTGTCACTCTCCCACCAGCCATTCCGCTTTATATGAAAAGTAATAAATAATTGTCGTCTAATTTTATTATTGTCCTTTATTATAAAATAATCTTTCATTTTATACTGTCTGTTTTGTTGAATGAGTAATCAAAGTGACTCAGATATGGTTGGTGAATAACTGTAATTATCGCATCTGAAATGACACCGTAAAGGGCAGGAACATTTAAAACATCTTTTATAGTGCCTTTCATTCTTTTTCTGAGCCACGATTGCAGATATGGAAATAAGCTTGCAGCTTTTGGATAAGAAAAGTATTTCCTCTCCCACCTCTCTTCCTCTTTGAAGTTTGGTATGCACTGAGGACCAAGTAGACATGTCGAGTGCTCCGGCAGTGAGTAGCAGCAGACTTTAAAGCTGCTTCTGCAGTTGTCATCCTCTCTGGACGCCGCAAGTTTGCCTTACTCCGCTGATGTGTACAGATCCCGGGCAGCTGCCATTTGTCCATTAATCAGTTGAATGGAAGATGCTGTTAGACCCCAAACAACCAGCCTCCCCCCACCCCCCCACTCTCCTCCCACGCATATATCTGGATTATCTGCTGTACTTTAAAAAGCGCCGCTTTTCAGTATAATGTGAGTCTCAAAATAACAGCGGCCGATTGTTGACTGAGGAGCGCAGCAGCTAGAAATGATTCGCTGTAAGAGGCCATTTTATTCTGAAAACGCTTCTCCTTTCCCATTTCCAGAAGCTTCTTTCTACGTATGCTGTGCAACTCTTCAAGAATGTTTTATCCCAGTAACAATTTGATGAGCAGCCATTCTGTGTTAAGCTCAGCAATGTCCTTCTATCTGGCAGAACATTAATGGTGAACACAGCCTCCTCTTTTTTTTTTTTTTTTACTGAATAACAAAAATAGGTGGTGAATCTGTGAATATATTATTTGCGATTAGCATACATCCGGCAAGGGCAGCTCCTGGACTGTGTGAGGAATTCGCATGTTCCCCATGTTTTTTGCAGATTTCACTGCTGTATTCCTGGGATGAACTCCATTGCCCAGTCAATGGGTACAAGGTTATAGAGAGATGAATTGACAGATATATATAGTTATATATCTGTACTTATAGAGTTTTAATGTACTATAAGCCTGTAGGGTGCAAGTGGCCCATAACCGTCATTGATTTCATTCACCCTTAACAAACAAGAGTAGGTTGTCAGTAGCTGCTCCAGCACATTTGTATGTATAACTTCTCCAGACTGTGCCTTTGGCTAAATCTCCATGCAGGTTTATGACCCTTTATATGGTGATAACCCTTTAAATGGTGATCTGGAGCCTTGCCTGAGACACATACTGTATGATGTTGGGTAACATAGAACGTGAGCAGGATACGAGTCCATCATGGTACTACTCATTTTTGGAACCTTTTACCTAATGCTGCTAATACAATTTATCAGAATATTTTCCTTACCTTCAAAAAAATACATGGTAAACAATGTTCTTAGCCTTTTCTTAAAATAACATTTGATTAACATTTTTCTCCTTGTTCTATTAAAAAAAATAGACTTCTAGGATCTGTGAAAATGAGAAAGTATCACTTGTAGCCTAATTTATAAGCGGAGCAAGTTCTAAACCTTGAAGGAATTCAGTAACTTATTGTTACAGCAAAATAATTGATCTTAACGGCTTGGGAGCCTTAGACAATGCACGGGGTAATCTTCGGGGTTAATCAGGCAGCTGTGAAATGGTGTTGTAAGACGACTACACGTAGGAAACGTCAGCGCATGAAGAGCCTGAAGTGTTATTCAGTGTGCATGGCTTTCCTTATTATATGACTCCAGCGTTAGTATACACAGCTTAGCATTCACGACTTCAGGAACAGGCTTTCATGGCTGCCAGTCACTGTTGACAGTGTTGTCAGGTAAGGATAAGATGAGGGTTTCGCCTCTTTGACACTTAATGTCAAATTGTCAAGGACAAAATGAAACCGCTGCCTTGAGTCGAGCTATAAGACAATTTGTGGCAGTTTGCATCAGTGATGACCCAACAGCACAAATAAGTACCAACTCCCAATAATTTAAGGGTAGTATGAAGATTTTTAAATGGACTTATCATGGATTTATGAAAGGGCCATTGAGAGAAACTTCAAGTGAAGATAGCTAACATATCCTGGAAGTGCAGAACAGATGGTAGAGACAGTCAGGGTAGGATAAGTGTGGTATATAACATCGTTTTTATGACTGTAGTCGACACAAGTCGTCCTGGGGTTCAGGGACGTGGATCTCTAGCTGTCTGAGTCGATCAGGGATGCATGATTGATTCCCAGCCACAAGTGACTCCTTGGTGTCGTGACTCAGGTACCTAAGACTGACAGTCATTAGTCCCCTCTGTCTTCCGCTGCTTTTTCCCGCATTATGTAGGTGAATCGCTCTATTCTTGCCCCTGGATTCAGCATAAGGCTTCTTTTGGCTCGCCGGAGGTTTGCAGAGGAGCTGGTTCAGATCTGCTCCTGTGGTTACTCCTGGATTAGAGTCTGCGGTGTTATCCGTCCATGAGCTGACATCTAGAATGTATGAGCCTCCTACCATCCTGAAGCAATTCCCGATAGACCAGAGTACCTTTTAAAGTGACTTCCTCTATTTGCCAGAAAAACAAAGCAAGTTCTGCGCTAAGAATCATGGGGTGAAGCAGATACACAGATATCAGATGTTTCAGCCACAACTGGGGGGGAGAAGTTTCCTCCAAGACTGAAAGACTGTCAAGCCAGCTGTCACAGCCAATGCTATAAGAAACAGGGCCTATTATTTAGTGTAAACTCTAAAGCACCATTCATGCATTTTACAATGGAAATGTTGGTGATTCCCATCCTCTCCCTTACGGCATGGTGGTCTACAGCAGTGGCTGCCAACCTCTCAGTGCACATGGACTAGTTATGTTGAATAAAAACATCACGGACTAGTAAATGTAGGACTAAAACGGAGCGAGGTGTTTGGCTGCCAGCAGATCGATCTGCGATGTCATATCCATTTTTTCAGATTTGAACATAAATGAAAATATACAGTTTATTTTTGAAAATTAACCAAGCCCTCCACCAAACCATCAGCGTTCCGCCACGGCTTGGTGGAATACTGGCCGCAGACCGCACCGGCTGGGAAACCATGATCTAGATCAGACAGACCACGTCTTTCCCTAAGGACCGGGTTGGGAAGCCTAACCCAGAAAGGATAAGACATAAGACAAGGCACAGTGGATAAGCCACTAGCCAACCACCTGCTGTTGCCCTTTGAAATCGTCCTTTCAATCATCCATCCACCCGTTTTCCACCACTGCCCATCCAGTGCAGAGTCTCGGTGAATCTGGAGCCTATTCCCAGTAGAGTCCGGCTGCGAAGCAGGGGGCACAGACCTTCGACAGGACACTGATCCATCACTTTAATATTTCCTATTTAATAGAAACATTATATCACCACAGACAAACAGTTCCTTCAAGGTGATTTTACAACCACTAATGCCATTAAATAGTAATGCAAACACCTGCATGTAATTCAGTTACATGCTGTATTTAGCCTTTTCTCATGGTATTTCAATCCGACATTTTTCATAAAAAAACACTATGGCATTGCTGTTTTTGGGTTTCGCGCATCACGGGGGGTCAGACTCCCTCTGCATTCCGCACCTCTGCTGCTATCTGCTTATCCCTGTCTCCGTGTATTTAGATTACATGCTTTCTTTTCACCTGCTGGGTAACTGCAAATAATCCGTTTATTCCAAAATCTCCTGCTGAATTAACTCCACAGGTTACGTTCTGTATGGAGGACAACTTGACAGGGGTTACCAAATTAATAAATCGTTCCTACTGTTTAAAAATCTCCATATCGACGTGTTGCAGAATTCTTTCTGCGGTGTCCCCTGGGCCACTTCAGCTTACTTTAATTGCACCGTAAAGGGGAAGCCTTTGAACACTGCATTCCAAGCATATTTGGAGTTACAATATAATTAGTAAAAACTGGAGATACAATATAACGAGTAAAAACTTCTCCCTGCCAGTAGTAAGCATCAGACTTAATTAATGAAAGTCAATGAGTATGGATCTGTGTCCTTACCTGTAATCTTTGCATTGGAGTTCCCTATGACAGATATGTGGCCAATCAAACTCCCAGCAAACAAGCTGCAATGAATTTGAACAGCTCTTGTTAGATGAGACAAATCTTTAATAAATGCATACATAATGTTCAATTTGTTTGAACTAAACTAATGACAAAAAATCTCCAGAATATAAGACTGCCATAGGCATAACTCTATGTTATGGAAAAGATGAAACAATATGTAAATGACAGCTGTGCTTTTACATTCTGGAGCAGCCTCCATTACCGTAATATCGCATGATTGTGCCGTCAAAGAAGAGCGCACCTCTTGGGGTCTTTTCTATAC